CCGGGGCGCCTGCACCCCGTGCGTGGCACCCGGCGAGTGGGCAGGACATGGCACCCGGCGCACTCACCAGCCGCGGGCGCCACCCTTTCCCCTGCCGGGAGGCCCCGTCTGGCTCGATGCGAGGCATGTGCCCGCTCGTGTCGCCTGGCAGAGGAGGGCGTGCTGCAGCAGTGGCCAGACCCAAACGGCCTCGTGATCCTCCGGGTATCCGGAGGCGACCCTGCCCTGCCCTGCCCTGCCCTGCCCTGCCCTGCCCTGCCCTGCCCTGCCCACTCAGAGGCACCCGTGGGAACCCGGGAGCTGCCGTCTCGCATCTGTAGCCTGCAGCATGATGAGAGGGTCTCACAGAACATCAGGGATGAAAGGGCTCCCTGGGCATCTGCTTTATACTGGGATTACTCCCCAGGCATGTGGTGCTTCTCCTGCAAAGCTGGTGCAAAAGTTGGGGGCCGAGGAATTTCTGTTATTTTCATTTTGAAGTTTTTCTGCGCCATCCCATTACTAAAAGTCCATGGACAGCTTACAGGGGCAAAACCGGCACTGCTGTGCGAGCCCAGGCATCGGTGTCTGGCGCGAGTGCCGTGAGCAGGCGTTCTGGGTGCCAGCGCAGTGGCTTGGCAGGGACACCGTCTGCCCCAGGGCAAGGCCAGGCGGGCTCCCCGTTCCCACACGGCCCGCGAGAACGGGTGGCCCACTGTGGGGCAGCTCTGGCAGAGGCGGCATCCCTGGCACACCCAAGGCAACATCCTGGGCCGGCTGGGCCGGCAAGCGGAGCGCCGTCAGCCTCCCCAGGCGGCTGCCACGTTCTGCCGGCGCCACCTGCGGCACCCCCATCGCAGCCCCGCTCATCCCCAACCGCCCGCCCCCTCGTGCAGCCTCTGGGCCGGGGGGGCAACTCGGCCTGCGGAGGCCGCGTGGGCCACGGTGAGACACGGTAGCCGTTGCACTCAGGCTCCCGCTCCGCCCCTTTGGGGACCTCCTCTTGCTGGCATCCTTGTGGGGGTGGCTCTTTGCTCATCAGCTCCAAATCTGCATATCAGCACAGAAACCTGAGCAGCAAACCCCTTCCCCTCTCCTTTGTCACGTACACACCCATCCTTTCTAAAACTCAAAAATGTATCCCATGTGTCTGACGCATGCCTCCGCCTGCAGGCACTGGGTGTCCCGTCCTGACCAGCAGTGCTGCTGCTGCTCTCCTAAAGCTGGGCAGAGACCCCCTCCGGCCTGCATGGGGTCTCCTTCGCCAGCACTGCATAGGGCCACGCGCGATGGCTGGCACAATTTTGTGTCCAGAGCATTTAGGTCCTCTGGGTCGGTCCAGATTATGCTTCCAGCCACATTCCTGAACTTGTGTGTGTGTCTCCCATGGGGGAGCGGGGCTGCAGGCTGGCCCCTTGGCTTCTCTCTGCTCAAGGGCAGCTTCTGCGCACCTTGCCAGTGGCGTTCCAGGACAAAGTGTGTGCATCCATTTGAAGTCCACGTCCACGAAATGTGTTGCAGATGCAGAAGACAGAAAACGGCAAAGCGCACGTCCCCCAAGGACCACCACCCCCTCCTGCGGCGGGGCCACCGGGCAGGGCGTGCCGTGTCTCGGAACTCAGAATCCCCCGGCAAAGAGGACCATACAAAGCACAGCAAGAAGGTTCAGCAGTGGGTTTTATTGCATTTGTAGCACGGGTCATCTCTGGCTCGCGGCAGAGCTCTGTACAGACAGACTGTCACGAACGGTACCCGCGCTGCGATCCTCGAGCCCACGCGCCGAGATCCGCAGGGTCGTGGTGGCGATGCGCCGGGCAGAGCGGTCCCTCACTGGCTGGTTGTCATGTGGCTGCCTGTCTGTGCCTGCTGTACAGGCGAGAGCATGTTCTGCACAGCAAGTGTAGACAGGCAGACACGTGACAACGCTGCGCCGCGGCCCGGCTCCAGCGGGGCCTCCTCGCCCTGCGCGCGGCGAGACCGGCTCCGGCGTGGGGGAGGCCTCGCGAAAGCAAACCTGAACACGTCACAGAGCGGGCGGACTGGAAAGGCGTTTGCTTTATTCAGAAAACACACGTTTTACAGTGCTGTTTTTATTTTCCTGCTGTCTGTACAAGAGGAGGTTGCAACAGGGCATGAACAGCTTTCAAAATAGAAAGATCGGCTCCGGGCTCAAGGGCTGCATCTGTGCCCCCTATGCACACGTCCGTGTCTGCCGCGTCCCCTCAGCTCCTGCAAAGTGAGGAAGGCTGGATTTTAAAACAAAGGGTCTATCTGCACAGGATGCTCTTGCTGTCCCCAAAATGCCCAGGCTTTTAAGAAGGAAGTGGAAGCTGTGTCCGGGATGTACAAGAAGCCATCCCCTAGATGGTTTAAGTTGGTCCTAAAAGTTCACGCACAAAGGACATTACAGTGGACTGTTCAAGACTTCGGTGAGCGTCAGAAATGGAAGATGTTTGGCCCTGGATACTTCAGAATCAGAAATACTCATTTCTGCATCCTAGCGGTGCTTTCCGGGAGCAGAACAACAATAGATCAACAATTAGTATTTGAGAGCTGCAACGGGGCAGGGAAGCCATTAGGGGAATAATTCTTACTGCGTGCAAAGACCCATGCAAAACATTTGCTAATGAAGCGCTTTACTGCTCCAGGTGAACTACAGTCAAAACTCTATCAAGGTCTGCCAAAGGTAATTAAAAGATGAAGCGTGCGTGCACAGTGAAGAGATTCGAAGGAGTGACAAGGAATGGGTCAGACATGCAATCCGGAAGGCCTTTGTCCAGGTCATACGGGGAAATGCCTTTTATGCGCAGGAAATACAATTGCACCTCGCAGATGCTGTTCCTGTGGACTGGTACAAGGCTGAAGAAGTGCCATTCACACGTAAAACTCTGAATTTAGCACATTGTTAGGATTCAATTGCTCCACTTGTGGCAGTTTTGAACAAACAACAATCAATGCCCAAAGAAAGCCTTGAGACAATCGCACCAGACCTTCTGGCTACGACTTGGATGGATGTCGGGGCTTCCCCAGATGCAATGTTAAAACTACCTGTTCTAAACAGGCAGTGTGAGAGGGAAATAGCATTACTTTCCTTTTGCCTAGCGTTTGTTCGTTTGTATGTCCCACTTCTTTCTTACAAGGCGTTCAGGGCAGCTTACAAAACTCCCTTCCGCCTCTCGGGCTTATCCCCCAACAACAGTCCTGCGAGGCAGTTTGGGCTGAGAGTCTGGCTGGCCCGAAGGCCCCTGCTGGCCCCACGGCTTCTGCCACGCTTTTGTGATTTCAGGACTCAAGGAAGCCCTATTTCACACATTTCCTCTGGGACTCATCCTTCACTGGCTCTTTTGCCCTGAGTTTTTGTTTTTTCGTGATTAAAATCTTTGCCAGTTAGTGCAAAGACAGAAATGCAAGCAAGTATGGAAAACTATTTTCCATAATAAAATGGAAAAATGTTACTGTAGCTGTTCTTTATAAACCTGCTTGAGTAACTGTTCCCCTTTATCCTTTCTGAAAATGCCAGTTTATTGGCATTTTGTAACATTTGGTTTAAATATCTTCTGGGTACTCTGGTGTTCTGCAGGCATTTCTGTGTGAGAAAGGGAGAGACTCTTCGTAAAATTAAAATGGGTTAACAGGCAGCAATTGCGACGGCGATGAAGCGATTGCTTAACGTGGGGCAGAGGGAAGCGGGGGTGGCACTGTGGCTGCTGACCCCACGCTCTGGGCTGCAACGGCCACCTGAGATCCGAAAGGAGCCCACAAAAAGCTGCACCTTTTCCTCCCCACTGAAGGGCAGCACATCCCCTGCTTCTCTCCCGCCCACAAAGGGGGTCTTTCTCACAGGGCAGTGACCTGCCTTCCCTGCCTGTCTTCCACCTGGTCAAGCGGATCGGCGGTCGTGTTGCCCGTCATGAAGTCAGCGATGCTTCAGCTGCAACTCCAGGTACGTCTGCTAAGCCATAATCAAATTACGGTCGAACACTTAAAGCACAGCATGACTGCTGGTATTGTTCATTACCCTTCTGGACTGTATATCTCTATCGGCAAAGTTCTCTGGGCCATTTGCAAAAGGGGCGAAATCGCTCTGGCGTGTGTCTCCCGCAGCACAGTGCTGCTCCTCGCTTGCCCCACGAAGACCCCACCATGCGGAGCAATGGCTTAGCGAGCGGCGCTGGCACCCCCGACCGCAGTTCCCTTGTGCGCTTTGCAGCACAGAGGCTCACTTTTCGGGCACTTGCGTGCTTCTTAGCAATCACAGGGCCGCCTTTCCTATTGCATATTTGATCCCTGGAGTTTATAGTCCAATGCCTACAAGTCTCCTTTCTCAGTAAGCACATGCAACACTGGTTTACAAGACATTCACGAAAGATCTTTGTGCTTGTCCAGCTTCTAAAAATTGCTGTTCTCTGTAGGCAGGGATTTAAAATCAGACTTTACATGAAGCTGTCTTGATGGCCGTGCAGAAGACAAAATGCTTCTTTGCTAGCAAGGAAGACGTCTGGCCTTCCCTCTCTTTGTCTGCTCTGTTAAGGGGAGCGAGGGACGGGCGGGGGGCTCCCCTTGCCTACGTTCTGCTGCTGAGCTGAGTGCCGCCGGGCAGGCCGAGTGCTCCACGGCGGCCCCCTTCCGTTGCGCTACGAGTGACACGCAGGACAGGAATGTGACGCGCTTTTTCGGGCTACCGTAATACGGAACACTTGATTATTGTTTTTCAAATATTGTGAAAATTCTGCAACATCATGATTCCTCGCCTGTATGGTTGAAATCACATTTGGAAGTAAATATTTCTGTTTTACAAATTAAACATTACATTTGTCCCTTCTAAAAAGCCGTAAAGGTTTACAATTACGAAAGTTTACAAAAGCAA